AGGATGCTATCTAGGACACCATACAGCATCTAGTCATCATATGTTAGTCTTCCTTTGTTTTTGACAGGTGTTCAGACTTTACTTGCTTTTGGTGACCTTGATGAGGAAGTACCGGTTGGTATTTTATAGAATGTCTCCTAATAGGGATTTGTCTGATGTTTCTTTCATGATTGGACTTAGGTTTCAGGTAGAGGGAGGAGAAAGCAAGGATACATATTGTTATAATGACTTTTCTCTGTTGCTGTTGTTCTTTACCACCAAGCTAAAATAGTGCTTACCAGGTAACTCTACTGTAAAATTATTATCTGCCCACCTTTTCCATACTATAATATTTTAAAAGATATAGTCATGTTAAGCCTATACTAAAGAATAAGTAGTTATGCTCCACCTCTATAATAATATATGCTTATTTATATAAGTAATTTGGGAATTTTTCTGCACAGACTTGTCTCAACCCTTGTTTGTTATTTATTCAGTCATTTATTTGTATCATTATGGACTCATGAAAAGATATTTTATATTTTGAGTTAAAATGTAATATGATTTTATTTGTTACTCAAATTGTTTCTTCTTTCATCATTGGAAACATTTCCTTTGACTTCTGTGTCTCTTTGACATATCTGTTTCTTTATTTGATTGTTTTGAATACTTCCTTATATTCTAACACTGTTAGATATGGCTAGTGTGTTACAGCTTGTATCTAGATGTCCCCTCAAAGCCTCATGTGGTTGTAGGTGATGCTTTTCAGAGGTGGCTGGATCTAGAGTGTGTGACCCTTGGGAGTGTGTGATGCTAGGAACAAAGGTGTGATTATTAAATTAGTCCATTGATTGGTTTGGCATAGTACTAGGAGTGGATAATGGGAAGGCCTCCCTGGGTGAGAGTGCTACTCCCCCTAAGGACAGGTAGCCTAGACAGAATATAAGGGACAGAAAGAGGGCTGTTGGGGTCACTTGTTGCTCACTGCTTTTTGACTCCTTCCTGTCTGTTCTGCGAAGCCCCTCTGCCATCCCACCCTGTCTTAGAGCCAGACAACTATGAATTGAAACCTCTACAAACTCTGAGCTACAATAAAACATCCCTCCTTTAACTTGGGGTGTTGTATATTTTGGTCTCAGCTATAAAAAAAAGTGGCTAAGATATAGTACTTAAACAGTTCCTCCTCCAGGCCCAGAATAAACCATTTCTGCAATGAACCCTGGTTTCTTTTACTGGAGAATAATATTTGAAGTCAAGATCTAGATGACAAATATGCTTACAGAGCTACTAAAAGATTGTTCCTCATTGGCCCTTTCATCCGACAGAGTATGGAAATATATGTTGTCTATTTTAATACATGTATGCGTACATATCTATTAATAATACTGTCTATAATCATCTGTACTTTAAGGAGCTAATAATGAGTACACACTGACTTCCAGCTGTAATCCATAACCACATGAATCATATTAGCCTCCTCTCTCGCTTGTCTGTAATTCCTAATCTAACAGAGAGAACTCCTACTCCCATCCTCAGCCACTCACTTACTAATTCTTCAACTCCAGTATACATAGATGCATAAGAACAGCAGAATTGTTAACCAGTTCTCTCATGAGTAACAAGTTTTTCAACTACAGAAGAACGTTTATATATAATTTATTTTCCCTTTTTATAGACAAGTTCTTGCTATGGAGCCAGGCCAGTCTTGAACACACTATGTAGGCCAAGCTGGCCTCTGACTCACAGCAATCCTCCGGGAAGGATTTTTTCCTTTCACCCTCTGAGCAGATTATTTCATGTTTCTGGCACAGTTAGATTGTTTTGCTAAGTGTATCCTAGGATTCCCCAACCTAACCTGGCTTCTGTTAATTTGTGTAGTCTAAGACTAACTGGCGCTGTAACATTCCATGGATTTTGGTAAACACATGAAGTGAAGTATCCATGGTTATAATGTCATACAGGACACTTTAACCACACTACAGACCTCTCCAGTGCTCCACTGGCCCAACCCTTTCTGTGCCCCCACTTTCTTAAAAATGGAAAGACCTTGATGTCTTCCTATCTCCTACAAAATTTTCTCTTCCGTACACATATGAATGCCACCATACCTTTTTACTCTACCATCTTTCAGTTAGCACTGTGCATTGAAAATTCATGATGTCTTTTTTGTGATCATCTTAACAACTAAATAATATTCTACTTTATGAGTATACCAAATTTGTCAGTATTTTCTCATGGCCTGTGGATGCTGGTGATACCTCACACTGTGTTTTGGAGTATAAGACCAAGCTGGCAGAGGTGGGCATGCACTGGCTCCTGTCTGACAGGGCCCTGCTCTGTGCAACTGGCTTTGTTCTGTCATTCCAGAGCCAGTGGGCAGAGACTGGATGGGCCAGCGCTACATGGAAAAGATGTCTTTATATGATGACTTGAGAGTGGAAATTAGTACCTCAAAAACAAGGCTGGTCCCAATGTTTCAAACTTCTGTGGCCTCATCTTCAGATACAGAAGCACCTCTCACTCGTTCAGAGAGCCAAAGGACAAAGCAAAGCACTGCCCTTTCCCCTAGTCATTGACTAAAGTGAGACGACTTCTCAGATGACCAGCAAATCATGGATGAGATGCCACCACCAGTCACAGCAGGCCTGGAGGACCCATTCCCAGGGGGTTTCCTGGTAGAAAGGCTCAGATTCCCTTAGGTGAGCAAGAAAAATCCCATTTCCCAATGATTACGAGAAACTAGTGAAGCATCCAAGAGAGTTGGTGAGACAGAGGGAAATAGAACAGAGGGGAAAGAGACCTAACGACAGACTGGTGGATTTTCAAGGTGACCAGTTCCAGATTCTGATGAAGAGAAAGGAGAAAAAGAACACAGGAGGAGCTACAATCAGCCCCACTACTTTCCTGGCAGAGAGAGACAGAGGAGTTACTCTGAGATTTTCCACAAGAAGATAACTCAAAACCTTGATCACAGTCTCCTAAAGCTCCTATTCTTTTCCTAGTGGAAGAGGCACAGGATAGATGGATCTTCATCAGGGATGGACAACTCTTCTACTAACATGGGTGGCACAGTGGTACATAAGAGCATGCAGAAGTGTAGCATTTTGGAGCTGCAAGTTCTGGGGAAACAGAAGCCGGGGTTGAGCCCCACACTGTCTGTAGAGAAGATCAGAAAACAGGGGAGCAGGATCACTATGGGTGATGCCACATGGATCCTGATGAGTCTCAGAATACATCCAAGAAGTCAGATTCAATGAATTCTGAATTAACTGAAATACTTAAGTGTCCTACTAAAGTGGTCCTACTGAGGATCATAGTTTGTGCAAGAGAAATGAAGGCAGTTGAAATTAAGGGAAAATGTGAAAAATATGGCCAAGTTGGAACACCTGTGATATTCAAAATTCTGGTACCCCTGCTGATGAAGAAGTATGGATATTTTTAGAATTTGAGAGATTTAATCAGCAAATAAAGCTGTTGTTGATCTGAATATGAGGTGTTTTGGTGGATGGGTGGTAAATGTATGTTTTGGACAATCTGAATATATTTGGGGTCTTGAATTTGGACAAACAAGTTTGATTTTAAGAACTACAATCATCTCCAATGGTCCTTAAACAAGTAGGGATCGAGCAAAGAGAGGAAAGCTGTTGTACACTGAGACTGCTAGAGGGGCTTCTGAGATGTACATTGATCCCCGTAACATTTCATGTTTTTTAAACATGCAAATCTTGAAAGAATAAAAAAGACCAACCTATTCCTTTAATAAAGTAAAGAGACAAATAAAGGAGGGAGAGAGAAAATTCGGACACCAAAGAATAGCATTCTTTAATTCAGAAAGGCATCAAATTTTGATTTTGTTAGTTCATTGCTCCGTAGGAAGGCAGACATAAAGTAAGAACAGTCTTATGATCTGAAAGGTTTCTTAACATGGCTTGGCATTATTTGCTGTACTTAGTTTGTATACATTCTTAAATACCCACACTTTATGACCAGTACATGCAAACTGTGTCTAACTTTGATTTCTTTGCTTACAACAAGACAAAATTTTTGTCATATATGAAAGACAGAAAAGTCTTGCATAGCTCATGATGAACAAAAACTTATTTCAAAAAGTCTATTTCCTACCTCTTTACTATGGTGCTAGCCATATGATAAAATAACTTCCCAGTATGCTTGACTCAAGTTTGGTTTATCAAAAGCCATTCTAGAAAAATGTGCTTTTGTGATAATTTTTCAATCAGTGGAATTCACTAGTAATCCATATTTGACAAATTTGGCACAAAAATAAAGTTATTTTCCCCATAAATTACTTAAAGTGAGTCAGTGTACACCAGAAGAATCTTCTAAAGTTCCACTCAGATCAGACTCAGATTGAAAACCTGTGAGAAATTTACCCACTTTTCCACTAAGCAGCTTGTAAAAACACAAAATGTGACATACTTTCCTTCCTGTACCGTGGTTAACCAACTTTTCTTTTTTCCCAGAACACAGGTCTAATTCTTGACTCTAATACTTCTTATCACAGACTAAAGCAATGCTTGCTGTGTCCTTTCCCTGCTCCCATTTTGCACTGACATTTACTGTTATATAGAAGTGCTACACTTCTGTATTAAAGCCACAAGAAAAGGAAAGGACCTACGGGCCTACTTTCCCAAATGACCACGGTAGTTTCCAAAGCAATTTTTCCCAGTGTAGAAGATTTTAGAGTCATCTTTAACCAAAGAAGTGTATTTCTTTCCCATGGACTTTCAAAACAGAATTAATAGGAAATCCTGCATTTGCACAAGCTGATCTTCAACATGATAATTCTAGAATGTGATGAGAAATAAGCAGTATCAGCTGAATCAGAACTGGCTTGCAAGCCCTTCCTCTTCAACAGTATGGTGAAATAAATGCACTGCAGAATGTATAAGTATTCATGTGCCTCTGTCTGAAAATTTGCTGAAGCAAACCACAAGAAACAGCCTAAATTTTTTTTTTTGGTTTCTTACTTATAAAATACAATATTCTTGTCTGTGCAGTTTTACAATTTATATTTTAAGTTTAAATAAAAATTATCATGATAATAACTGCACAAAAGCAGAAAAGGAGTAAAGAAACATAGAAAGACTAAGAGGATGAGCTATACCCAGGAAAACTAGTTTCCAGTGTCAACTCTGCCTCTGAAAGGCACTTGACCACAGGCATCTGAATTTCTACCTTATCTGTATGCCTAATAACTATTCTGGAATCACATTCAGTAGATGGTAGTCAGGATTGCTCTTATGCTTGAAAAAGTTGCTACACGCTGCCTTACATGTGACTTTCATGAAAAGCCCACTGGGTGCTTGTCAGTTCACAGAATTAACAGAAAGCAGAGCCCACCTAGAAATATTTTTATAATTGGTTATTTCTTTCTTTCCCTCAAAGCTTCCTTACCTCACCCTTTCTCCTCAAAATGATTCATTCTGTAGATGAATCAGAACTTTACTTAAGTGTTAGTTCTATTCAAAATCACTTGTCTCTATTCTCCCAATCACACACAAACACACAGGCACACACACACACACACACACACACGCACACGGGATTAAAATCACTGAGGGCCATTTATCATACAGTAGATACTGTTTACTTTAGAGTATGGGAAGTAAGCAGCAGCAACACCAGAACAAAGAAAATGTGGACCTTAATGGACAGTGAATAAAATATAGCATGACTGAAAGGCTGGAAGCACTATGATACAAATATAATTAATAGGGAAAGGAGTGCTAAGGTGATAAATATTTGGAATATGCAGTGAGGAATCATGTGACAAAATCTATAGCAGGAGAATTCTTTTCCCAACCCTAATTTTTTGGATTTTTAGATATTTGTAATGACAAAGCTATAGGATCCTAACTGTTCTAGCCTTGTCATCAATGCTCAGCCAAAATGAAAATTGAGTTGAGCTAAAAAGAATGAGATCCCACCCATTTTAAGTGTCTATAAAAAATATCACATTACTAATCTTCCTCAGCACCCTTGTCAATCCCATCTTTTCATAGTTCTCATGAAATTTAATGCTTTATATTAAATTTTATACTTCTTGGTTTATTGTCACTACAGATGTGAGAAAAGTCTAATGGTCATCTTTATTTATAACTCTTTAAAGACTTGAACAGAAACACTCAAAATCACCTACTATTATGGCTCCCTAGAGGATACTGAGCTAAAGCAAATAGTTTTGTATCTTATCAAATTAACCCGTGGAAAGTAGACCAGATAATTATATTCTGTCACTCCCTATTCATACCTGAATCTGAAAGTTTCTCAATTTTTCATATGGATAATCTAGAAAATAAACATTCCTGACTTCACAGGCAGCCTTAGAATGAGCAGGCATTTGTATTGGTTATATTATTTAACTTCCACAACTTCTCCTTAGAATTTGCGGTGCTATGGTCAAAAAATGATTTAAGAAGCAAAAAAGGATGTAAAAATTTAAATGTCATTGTTCCTTGTGAAATGGGCTGTCAGTTTCACAATTTATGTGCATATTCCCACCAAACTGGGTGGAGCTGCTCTAGAAGAGTATTATATCTGTGAAATAAGCTAACTTTAAAAAGCATCACAAGCCATCAGAAGCGACTCTCTTCTTCTTCCACAGCACGATGAAGGCCAGGGATGAATTTCAAGAGTTGTTTCCGAACACTTCCCCTTCTGCTCTTGCGAGGCAGAGTCCCAAATATGCTCGAGTAACTGTTCTCCCATAACGGGGACATGGATCCACTGCTGGTCGTGCTGATGCTCCGGTTCCGCCTTGAAGAGGACCTTCTCATAAAATCGTCCCCCTCCTTGAAGACAAAGCATTCATCGTCAGTACTGGTCTGCCGGCTGAAGGCCCCCCTGCTCGAGTCAACAGACACACAGGTCTGGCAGCCGTCCTCGCTGTCCATTGTCATGGAGCTCAGCCAGCTCCTGCAGCTGCTCTCACTGGACAACCGATTCCATTCTGGAAGGGCTGGGCCTGGGCCAGGCAGGGATCCCAAAATAGCCAACTCATCCACGTCCATGGTTTCCAAACTTGGGCTGTTACCAGCATCGCCTAGAATAGAGAACAAAGTGTATTGTGGAATGGATCTGAGCATTAGTCCCTACAAACAAATACGCCAAAATGGATCTTTAAAAAAAACAGAAGAAAAAGTAGAAAAACATTTTCCTCTGACTTTTCACTTGTACGAGCCAGGGACTTTTTAAGCTCATTTGAAAAATTCTGTATTAGGGTTTTCCAAACTGTTGTTCATGGAATGAATAGCTGACAAGGAAGGGTTCTGTGGCTATGAAAATTATGTTAGAATAAATAAGATGTTTTATGTTAGAACTACATTCGGAATGTACCTCAAAGGTCCAGATGAGCACTATCAAGAGACAGTGCAAGTCTAAGGGGTAGAACTTACTAGTATGTTTTAGGTCAAAAGAAGGGGATACCTTGGTACTGAATTGTGGAATCCTCGTCTCTTCTTTTCTTTTGCCTCCCAGTCATAAAGAGAGCAATTTTTTTCTGCCGAGCCATGATTTGCTGCCACCAGCCCAAAGTCATGGAATGAACCCATCACGGGCTGAACTTTCAACACTGGGGGCCACAATAACACTTTTCTCTTTATGAGGTGATTTATCTCAGGTTATAGTGACAGAAAACTAATGTACTTTATACGTGAACCAGTTCAACCCAGCTCACCGGATGCTAATGTGACGTGTGGATATCCAAATAATCATTTCTTAGATTTAGAACCTAGAATTTATGATTCTAGAACATTTAGTAAAATTTTCATAGAAATTTTAAAACAAATCCTTGGGGAAATGTTGTCTCAATGATTATCTCCATTCAGTCCCCTATTTTTAGTTATGAACAATTTTTAATTATAAAATTATATAAAGTCATTTGAAATGTGTGGCAAACACACTTATAAATCAGAGCATTGAAAGGTATTTATAACAGAAGGGATTTATGAAATCAAATATATCTCCCAGTTTCAATATTCCAAGTTTTATCTTGGAATACTTAAATACTTGGAATACATTATAATGGTACTGTACTTGGAAAACATCTCTGCCCTAAAATACATAATAATTTATTTGAAGAAATTTAATTTTGTCTACTTGGCTGAACTTTTTCTCAAATTCTCATGACCTATATCTGGGCTTTCCACACCCAACTCTGAATCACTCATCAATTTCCTGCTCATAATACCACTTGCTTCAACACTATCTGAATTGACTGGTGTGCTGCTAAAACAAAGAAATGTATTTGTAATACTGGCCTTAGAAAATGTGAATTTGAGTCAAGAAAGGTAACAGAACAGTAAGCACTCAAAAATGCTTTTATTTTGTAATAATTATTGTTACTTTTCTTCACCTTTGTCCTTGGTTAACAATATAAAAAGATACTGTTTATTTTCCAGTTGATCTGTGAGATTGAATTTGGCTAGTCCTTCAAGGACCAGGCATATTTTATTTTTAGATAATACAACCTACTTTATTTCATGTTACAATGAGCTGATAAATTTCCTTTGTTTGGAGAGCACTTGCCTTGTAGACTCTCAAGCCCTGGGTGATTAATCTAGTTCCAGAAAATGACAACTAATAACCTTCCTCAATCCCTCAAAAGAATGCAAAGCAATGACCTTATGAAAATCCTGACCTTAAAACTGTGTCCCTATGGGGCCATTCCACAAGAAACAGAACTGCCTGCATTCATTGTACCAGTTAGGACAGTCCAGAAATGGAGGCAAAGGTTTCTTAAACACACATATGTCTATAGAACCCAGGAAGTGGCTGAATTAGCAAGATGCAAAGAAGGTTTCATATGTATATATCTGTAAGAAACCTCAGAGCCCAGGAAATCAATCATGAATTCTTAAAAATATTAACTGAAAAATATAAAATACTTTCAAACACATCTTTTAAAAAGATTTTATGCAAATACTTAAGCTAGAAATTAGTATATAATTAAATAGTAAATTGTATCTTTTTAGAATATATAAGATACTCCAAAAATTCTATAGCAAAAAAAAAAAACAACTATATACAACCCAATTAAAGAAGGATAATAGATCTAAGTAGACACATCTCAAAAGAAGACATATGGATGGCCAAAAAGTACATAAAAATGCCCAGCATCATTAATCATCAGGGAACTGTAAATCAAAACTATGATGATATATCACCTGGCTCCGAAAAGAATGGCTTTTATCAAAAAGAAAAAAGTTAATAAAACCTGGTGAGGATGAGAAGTCAACCCCAGCATATTATTAGTAGAAATGTAAATTAGTACAGACACTATGAAGAACATATAAAGTTTTCTCAAAAAATTAAAAGCAGAACTACCATAAGATTCATTAATCCCACAAAAGGGTGTATTTCCAAAAGAAATAGAATCAGTCTTTTTATTGAATGTTTATTGCAGTACTGTTCAGATTAGCTAAAAAAGGGAAATACTCTATCAACTGTCAAATGGATAAAGGAAATATAGCATAATTACACTACAGAATACTATTCAGCCATTTAAAAAAATGAAACCTCGTCTTTGCAACAATGAGGATACAACCAGAGATCACTGTACAGAGCAAAATAAGTCAGGTACAGAAAGACAACTACTGCACCATCTCAAGCATATGTGAATCTAAAAATCTTGATCTTACACAAGTTGAGAGGAGAACGGTAGATACCAGAAGCTGGGGACAGCAGAAGAAAGGATGGACAGAAAAGAATGCTCAGTGGATACCAAGTTACAGTTAGAGAACAGCAAGATCTGGTGTGCTTTTTTGGCCAGTAGGGTAATTACGAGTAACAGTAGTGTAATATGTGTTTCCACAAGCTAGAAGAAAGGAATGTTTGAACCACAAAAAAGATAAATGTTTGAAAAGATAGCTATTTAACATGATTTAAACATTAAAATGTACACATGTATTAATACATCAATGTATATGTTTTATGTACAATTTTATCGCTTTGATGTGCCTGTTAAAAGAATTATTTCTTCTCTGTAAATAGTAATCATCACTTTTAACAGACACTCTAGGTTATAGAGATTTCGACTTAGTGTTATCTAAAGAAGACATAACCTACATCTCACACCCACATAGCTAGTGACTTCAGCCATTTCTTTCTACATGAAAGTTCATTCCTCAGGTTACATCAGTCACACAGCAAATAGCACATCAACAAACCTGAAACTCAGCCCTTTCCCTCAGAAAGCGTGCGGCGGCAAAAGCTGTGGATTTACTGTTAAGGCTTACACATATCTAACTTGGTCTTGAGCCCCGAGCAAAAGGATTTCTCTTCATAAATGTAATGGGTGAGAATTCCACCTAAGAAGTATGTAAATTTTCCCTCATCCCACAGCTTTGGAAATCTAACAACCCATAGCTGTGCTCACTTTCAAGAGTTTAATTCAGTTACTGAAGTGGAAGGAAATTCAAGCAATATTTCTGACTCTTCTTCGGAAATCTACAGACACGTCTTACAAGTGCATGCTCGTGCTTTCATGTGCATGTATGTTCCATGACTTCATTTGCTCCTCCAAATGCATAGGCCACTTAATAGATCATGCCAAAGACACACAGACTGGCATCTTTGACTGGTACTAGACAAATTTTCATTGCAACAAAAATAATCTTAAAACACCTTAGAGACAGAAATACAAAAAAAAAAAATGAAATGTGCATGTGGTTTCTGAGCAGGAAGTCATATTACCATGAAGCAGGCGCTGTTCCTGTAACTGCAGTGACTTGAACTCCACCCATTTTTTCTTCAAGGTTTGCTGTGATAGAGAAGAAAAAAAAAAGTTCTAATCATTAGGAAACCTCCAAGAAGACAACAGTTTAATTCTAAATGTTGAGATTTTATAATTAAAAGTTTCTTCTTTCTTTTTATACTACCAGCTCCTCTTAATTTAAAAGATTTTTGCTCTATTAAGACAACACTGGTAATGCTATTTTCTCAAGGCATAATCCAGCAGCATCAAACATATTCTATTAAAACACAAGAGAAACTGTAAGATGAATATATTTTTGTTTAAAAATTACAGAACCTGATTGTTTAGGTTTGTGAGAAGTTTTAATTGTATGTACAAGGACCTGCAGGCTAATAGTATTCCCCCAAGTGCAGAGTGGAGTTGATAACAGAACCTAAGCCCTAATAGTTAGTTTCATGACGAGTCCATGAATAAAAATGTATAACACTTTTAGAATGTTGACATTTAGAATGATAACCATACCTTACTAGATGCTGAAAAAGTATCCTACAATTCTGGGACACTAAAAGCTTTTGTCTGCACTTTTATTTATTGTCCAGAGAGAGAGAGAGAGAGACAGCATGGTTGGCCAGGCCTCACACGCAAGACAGCAATGGAAATTGAAAGCAAAACAGGCAGAAGCAGAAGATATCTGACAAGACAGTGTCACAGGCTACCTTTTTCTCCCCATCTCTGTCCTCTACTTTACTCCTTCCTCTGCCATTCCAGGGGCCCAACAGCAAGCCCAGCAAGTAGGTTTAAGTCAGATTTGCCATGCACATGTATTTTAAAGTAAAGAAAGCTAGATGAAAATAAGCAATCCTTCAGAGAAGCAACCCAGAAGGAGGAGATAATGGCTAAAAAGGAGAAAGAAAAAAAAAGATACATTTGAAAAGGAAAGGCCAAAGGGAAAGAAATTAATAAAATTATAAAAACATCATTGAATGCATAAGAGAAAAATGAGTCATTCCTCAGTGGTCAAAAACTGAACAATAGCTGAGCAAAAATTTTCCAGTTCTTCATAAGAGCTATTCTTATGGCTGCCAAAGTAGTATTCGAACAACAAGCTAAAATAATAAAATGTTTGGCTCAAGTAATTTCTTAACCTTTTTAAACCATCGTACAGTTTAGACACAGCTTCTGTTACCTTTGTAAATCCATGGTTATGTGAAAGTCAGAACCAGAAAGCCAGAGTATAGGACCAGCAGGGGCTGGCACATATACCAACACCTTTCTGCTCTCTGAAAGAGATTTATCATCTAGCAGGGCATAGAGTCCAGTAGAAAAGCCTAAGGATGATTTGACAAAAGACACTAAATATAGAACAGGAATATGATACTTCTTCTCTTAATATTAAAAAAATGCAAAGTCAAAGCTTGCCAAATAGTTTTGTAAGCATAAAGATTTTAAATAGCTAATTTGTTGATCTGGCCCGGTCATCTAGCATCATCATCACTTACACAAAGAAAATGCCAGACAAAAGAGTAGATATGTCAAAATGACTAAGAGTTTTTAGTTCGTCATGAAGTTAGTTTCCTTATTTTCTTCAGCCTGTTTCTTTCCATGTTACTGATAGCATAATTGTATATATGAACAATTATAAGATCTCCTCAAAACATGCAAATTAAAGCACATATGAGATAAAACCACGTTGGGCCACATCACCTACCTGGGTCTAGCTCAGTGCCTGCTACACAGCATATGAAATAACGGTTGGATATTGTTTGAAAAAATACACAAAAGATGACTTTCTGAAACAGACTTCATCTATCAAACATTGGATTGGTTCAATACACATTTCCAGTGTCTTCATTTGACATGAGACATACAACTAAACTTTCCCATGGCACTTTAGTATTTTCATTGCACTTTCGCAGAAAATATGCTATTTAATTTCTATAATTTCCCTTAAAAGTTATGGAATAGAAAATAGTTTCAATGTAGCAACTATTTCTCAAGGGCTACAAACTTATTAAGCAGCAGACTAAAAGCTAGACTAAAAACTTGCTTTCTCAGCTAGCTCATTCAAGATGTGGTTTTCATTTTAAACACTAGAATCATAGGTTAGAAAAAAGGGAATCCCTGTAACTGTGACTCAGAAGGGACTACTGTTTCTAAAGAAGAGCTTTTGGTCCCACAGAAAGTCTCTGGGGTAATAGAATGTTCACATACCAAGTAAAAAGTAAATGCCACTACACAGAGGGGAAACTAGTCTGACAACGATTATAGGTCAGGCCAAGATATTGCAGATGAGATGATCTGGGACTCTCCATAATTTCAAAATTAGAAGTGACACAGAAATGCGAGAAGTAAGCAGCAATGAACCTCAAGGTCTATTAGACCTAAAAAAAGCAGAAAGAGGTACCCAAGAATTTGAATCCTATGGCAATATAGGTTTAAATGCACCTATTTGAGGCAGGGGATTGAGGGAGTCAAGTTTCCTGCTTGAGAAATCAGTCTTGGCTGAAATTGCTGCACTAAGAATAGGAAGCTGGAAAAGCTACATCTGCTGGCATTCAGAGAGACAGAAGCACCTAAGTGCATCCTTATTACCTGAGGCAAACCATACACTGATTCTCCAGGAAAAACATACAAGCTGCCAAGTCTGACTCTGGCTAGGAAAGCTTGAAATGCTGTGTAGATAGAATTGTTCAGCTCTCACAATGAGCTGGAGATGAGAGAGCCACTCAAGGGACAGAGGCAATCTACACTCTAAACACCCATAGATGTTGAGGGACAGCAATAACAATAAAACTCATAAGCAATACATGAATTCTCTCCAAGGAAAGTCAGGAAACAAGAAAGTATCCATAGAAAAAATTAAAGTAATAATAGTCATAATCTTTTCAGAGAGAATAAAATCCATACTTATGAGAACAAAAAATAAAACATGAGCAAATAGACACGAAGTACTTCTTGACAATAAAAAAAATGTATTTGCAAAGCTGAAAAAAGAATACATTCTATACAGAACACAGATAACAAAAATGTCAATGAAGATATTCCTAAGCAACATAAATCAAGAATATGCCTAACAGAAATTCTAGAAGATGACATAAAGTGCTGGAGAAGATTATTCAAAGAAATTGGCCTGGTGTTCTTCCAAAACTGAAGAAAGTCATGTGTGTTTAGGCCAAAAGAGCTCTGCATATTCTAAGTGGAGTAAATTAATCTGGACCTAATTGCAGTGAAGTGAAACTATGGACCAATGAAGAAAAACAAAATCTTACAAAAGTTTCCAGAGAAAAATATAAAATACTTCCATCAATGCAAACACTATTTTTTCAAAGATTTTTAAATAGAAAACTCTCTAGAGAAGATTATCAAAGGAAAGAATAGTCATAAGAATTACTTTAAGTAAAAACTAGGATATGATTATAGTTTATGTCAGAGATTAAAAAGATGAATGTATAATTTTATGATTAATTTCATGCAACATATTTGAAAATTTGAAAACTTTACCAGAAAATAGCTCACCAAATCTGTTCAAAGAAAGAGACAAAGAAACCTGTATTAGTTTTATAAATCAATAAAGAAATTGAAACCGTGGCTTAAAAGGTTTACCACCAGTAAGAACCTCAACTCTGACCCAGCCATACCTCTGTTGGGTATCTTTCCAAAAGAATTAAAAGAATCATATCACAGTGATATATGCACACCTATGTTTACAGTGGCACAGTTTGTAATAGCTAAAACTTGGAAACAGCCCATTTGTCCATCAGTTGGAAAATGGATAAAGAAGATGTGGTTTTTCTATAAAATGGAATACTACTCAGCCATAAAGAATGAGAAATTAGATTCATTCATAGGAAAATGGATGCAGTTTGAGGATATACTCCTAAGTGAAATATATAAGTCACACATGTGTAAATACTGAATAGTTTCCCTGGTGTGAAAGCCTATAATAGTACACAAGATCCTAATGAGATAATTAACAATGTGAAATAGGAAGAAAAGGGCTAAAGGTGTAGGGAAAGTGGGAAGGGTAGGGGAAAGGAAATAAGGAAAAAGAAAAAAATATGAGAAAATGAAAAAATGGAAATAAAGTGTTTGTAAATGGGGAGGGGAGGAGGGGAGGAAGGGAGGGCAGGGACAAGGGTCAAAAATAAGAACCAAGATCTGTCATGTAAAGGTACAAGATCCCAATAATGAACGTAACTGTACTATGTACCTAAAATGTACCAATAAACTCAATAAAAAGAAAAAGAACCTCAACTCTGCATGATTCAAATGGTATTCCAAAAATTCTACCAGGCAATAAGAGGAAGAGTCCACAATTCATTTAAAAAAAAAGTAAACTTGATACAAAAGCTTAAAAAGATTGAAAAATTAAAATTATACAGCAGTCTAACTGTAGAATGAAACTATTTTCAAAAATCATTAAAATAACAAATCCAAACTGTGAGTATATAAAAATGATTATATATCAGTCCAGTTTATCAAAGTGTGTGGTTTAATATTAGTGAGTTTTTAATGTCATTCACCATACTGACAGACATGATGTCAATCAAATCTCTATGATTTATTTATGAAATTTGACAGTTTGATTCTAAAATTCATATATACTATCAAGAAATCAATAAAAAAAACACTAAGAATAAACTTGCCCAAATGAATATCAAAGCTTATTATAATCTCAGTTTGAGGTAAACAAATTAACCAATGCATTATAATGGGATCCTGCAGGCAAAACCATATATCCATGAAACTCGCTTAAAATAGAGATTTCCCTACAGGTCACTTATGAGAAAAAAAGGCAAAAATAAATGATACTGGATGAATTTGGTGTACACATGAAAAAATAAATAAAACTGAAAATTTTCCCAAACTCATAGTATATACAAAAATTAAATGTGAAAAGGAAAAACTTCATAGCACTTAAAAGAAAAGAAAATGTAGATCAGCAATTAGGAGCCCTCTCATAAACAAAAATACCTGAGGAGTAATATGTTGTTAAGAAAGCAAAACACCAATTTAGAATAATTCAATTACCTAGCAAAACTTTTATAAGGAGCAGAGAAACAAAGACTTTTTGACCAAGATCTAGTTACCATCACTGAAGGAAGTGCTCTGCAAGAATGGAAGTGAACCAGAAATAAGAAATAGAATGCGAGAAACAGCCACGTCACTGGAGCAGATTGAGAAAAACATTCATTATCAGTTTTTTAATTATAAATGAAAATCTAAATATAAAATTTATATTTTATAATTTTTGAAAGAGTTGAAATTCTCTAAAGTCAGAAAAAAGGAAGATGGGCTTTTAAATGGATATTCAAAGCATATCAAAGTCCTCAATGTTCTAGAAGATGATGAATATATTGAATTTTTTTTACAATTATTAGAAAAAAATCTGTGTGCACATTAAAACCTTGGGCAATATTCAAAGTGTAGAAATGGCATTGAACCATGAAATAATGTTTTGTCCAAATGAGTACTCTATTCCATGAGATATAACCTATTTTACATAAAATCTCTAGTTTATTTTCTATATTCCTTTGTTTTTTAGGGAAAGGCTGAAAACATAGTTCAACACTTTTTACAAGATGTTCATCAAAACTAACACTTTTCACAAAAAAAGTAATTTTGTGGCCAGGGATTTAGCTCAGTGGTTCCACCACCTACCTTGTGTTGCAAGGTCCCAAGTTCAATCACTGGTACCAGAAAAAAAAAAAAAAAGTAATTCTGACAGCTTTTAAAACTTAAATATATTATAGAGCACTTTTCACTCCTTTGAAAATGTAATGACAAAATATAGAAACATTTGCTTTAAAATCAAGAATAAGACTACCACTATTTATAATGTACCAACAATCCTAACCAATGCTATAAGCGAAGAAAAATAAATTAGTAGAATAGTTGAACTAAAGGATCAAAATCTTTATAATCTGTGACACTAAGATGTTGGTCTAGAAAACCTAAGGAAATGTATAATATTATTACTAGAATAAAAAAAGCAAGGCCTTACTACTGGATTTAAAAATTTATACAAAAACAATAGCAATAATAAGAAAAAAAGTGTCTTATTACAGCAAGAAAAATTAGAGTGCATATGAATAAATGTAATAAGATGTGAAAATATTCATTACAAAATACTTTAAAGTATATAGAAGACCCGAGTAAAGAAACTAAAATTGTGTGCTCAAAGTAAGAAAAAAAAAAGATTTCAACTGAACTCACTTATTTCATAAAAGCAATTCAATTCCTACCAAAATCCGGACAGAAGTTCTTTTTTGAGGAACTTTTAAAGATTAATTCAAAACATCAGGATCATAAACAAAATAGTGAGTTTCAAAACCTATGTTAATTAAGAAGAAATTAGGATTTGTTAATGAATCGAACATGGAGGAAGAGAACGATACAAGAAAAAACAGAATGAATTGACCTTCTTGGGGTCAATAATTAAATATATACTTAATAAGGAAAACTAATAAATGGCAGCTATTTTAAAGGAAAGTCCAAGTAAGTAACTTGCTTACAGTAAGCCATGAAATCCCTGCTCAGAGTGGCCACTTTACTGCCATGCAGGGGAAGCACTAGGATATGGAGGTCACCTGGAGCCAGGGAAGAAATCTTCAGGGCTATGACTCAGATGCACAAGTGGGGCTCTCAACTTCATGGCTTATGAGACCCTCACCAGCCTAAAAAGTTGAGATTTTTTAAAAAGATCTCCCAAGAGCCCCCCTCAGGAATTTTCACTGAATATTCTATGCTGTGAACGGTCTCTTCAAAATTTCCCCTTCAGAATGTGCTTGCCAAAGAAAATAGATTCAAGGGCAGTCACATGAATACAGAGAGTTGGTCTCTTAACAATGAGGAAAAAGTGTAAGATACAAGAAACAGTGAAAAAGCAAAGTCCCAGCTGTGCCTGCACATTCATGTAACATCTCAGAAGATCATAAAACACCAGCTCCTCCTCTTTTATGTTTTTTCCCCTGACAAAATGTAAATCAAGAGAGATCACAGGTGCATCCATCAAAAGTTCTTCAAGTGATGTGCCTTCCTATTGCCTCTTTGAGTCCCCTAGACACACTGAAGGAGGAAGGAAGAAAATGATGCATACCTGTTTTTAGAATTTGATATTGCTGCAAAGGTAATTGTGTGGCTCTTGATCATGCAGCACTTTAGATTCATCATATTTTATCTTCAAGGGCTGTCTCAATTCTTAATATAGATCTTTATTCTACTATTTACACATTCAAAGATAAAAATGGGCCTCATTGTGTAAATTAAATTACCTTTAAATCCTGCATCTTTGCTTCAAGTTCTTCTTTCCTGAGAAGCATTGATCCATTAAGAGTCTCTATCCTGTTTAAAAGGGGAAAAAAGGTGAGGGGTAAATAACATGAGTGATTCATTTAAACAAGTACCACCTTTATAGAGCACTACACTTGGAACACAAAGTATTCTAAAAATGCAACATAACTGTTACACCCTTCATAGATCTTCAAATATCTGGGTTGAAGCCAAATGTGACAATGTTCAGAAAAAAATTGGAGAAAACTCCCCTGAAAGAGTGAATGAAATGATCCTGGTTAATTTGCAAACTGAAGCTCAGTTCATCAAAGACACTATATATAACAATGGTTACTGTGTACTATGCTCTATTTCTGTGGGTACAAGCTAGAGCTCCTCATTCATTTGGTGAATATTTATTGGGTATCGATTATCTGCCAAACTCTATACTCCATGGTACCAACAAGGCATGCGACAAGAAAAGCAACAGACATGAGGAACTTTCAAAATAGTGGAGTCAGTATGCTATTTCTTGAATCAGAAAAAAAAATCCCTTTCTTACTAGGCTTCTGGGAGTCTTTACTTCTGTAAATTGTCCTATAATTTTGGAAAAAGAACAAATAGAACCAGCAGAACTATAAAGTACTTTCACATGACTCTTCTCAAAACCTTTAGAGTACAAATGTTAATCCTAAAATTAGCAACTGAATTCTTTTATTATGACATAAATGCTTTTCTAAAAATATAAGGTTTGTTGTATCCTGAGTGACTTATTTTGTGAGCTCAAGTTAAAAGACTTTTATTCTGACCACTAGAGTATCAATATGAATGTGATAGTATATTTCAAGTGTGAATCACAGGGATTTTTCAAAATATTGGTTCAAATTCCTTATCTGGTAACTGGTAACTAAGCTGTAACTCTGTTTATGAAGACACACAAAAAAATTTTTTTCAAGGCATGGTAAAAGCACTAAATGTGAAGAACAATTTTCCATGGATTTCTAATAACATCATGTCTGAGACAATGAGATGAAATCAAGCCAGAATTTGGTCTGCTCTCTCATTAAGGCAAACTTGATTTTTGAGCAATAGAGAGGATCCCTTGTCACATGGATCTCTGGCTTGTCCAGCAATAGATAAGGTCTTCACCCAGTTGGAACATGTTTTTCTGACTCTACCCCCACTAGTAATTGCTGTTGGACTCTATATTGCTCTTACTTCTTAGTTCTAGTTTTACTTGCTTGTTTTCAAACAAGACTGCTCCTGTCCCCTGTGGGTCCTGTCCCATAGGACCCACAAAGCTGGACTCAGTTTTCTACCCCCACCACTACCACCACCAGTCATCTTTCAAATCAATTCACATATGGACTCAAAATACACTTTAAAATATCACTAAAGAGCAAATGGCTCTTGGCAGTTTACTGTGAGCAGCTACAACTGAAAAGAACAGATTCTGACGTGGAGAGCAGGTGATCAAATCCAGCCCTCTAATTCACTGTTTGGGTGACCTTAACTAAGTCTTCTATAAGACTTGGGCACTTCATCTGTAAATGGAGTGAAACTAACCCCACAAAGTAGCTGTGAGGAATGAATGAAATAATGTAAGACCCACCTCCATCAGAGTAACGCCTAAACTCCTGGGCATAACTGATGGGCCCATGCTCTGCTCCCAGGCCAATTCTCTGTCTTCATTTCTTGTATTCTGCTTTACCCACCAGCTACCAATTACAGTGGATTCCTCTCTGTTTCTTGAATGTGCTAAGCCCATTTGGAGAGCTCAGAGATCTCCCTTTTTATCTTAAATGCTCTTACAGGTGTTCTGATGATGATCCCTTCCCCCTATTTAGTCTCAGTTCCAATGTCACCTCCTCAGAGCACACTTTAAACATCTGAGGTAAAATGGACACCCTCTTTCTCAGTGCTCTTTTCCACTCCCCGACTGTACTTTCATCCCAGTAGTTATCAAGAACTGGAATATGAAAATTCCTTAATTTTCAGGCATTCTTTAGCCATCTCTTCCCAGTTACTGAGAAGAATCTTTACCTTTGTCTTTCCTGAACCTACCACAGAAATAGAAGCAGTATTTACTCAATAAATACTATTTCATATAATGAGTGAATGTACATGAGTGAATTCCATTTCTCATTACTTATGAAGGTTTTATTGGGTTGTAGGAATGTTCTGGTACCGAGCCAAAGCTGTCTGCTTTATAGAGAGGGCAGTCTCAACCCTGGGTAACAGGAGGTTTCCCTGTCAATCTGTCTCACTGAGACTCTCAATATTTTGCAAAAAGGAAAGGAACCAAGAATTGGAGGTAAGGGAGGGAGAGAAGGGGTGAAAAAAGAATTAGGACATATTGTGTACATGTACGAGGAGTGTAGTTATTATGTACTGCAAGTATGTATTAATAAAAATAAATGAAAAAAAGCTCTTGGGGAAAAGTCCCTCAAATCTCTTGTTGAGGAGATTAGTATCTTTTAAGTTGAGTCTGGTGCATGTGTGTATGTGTTTCAAAGTAGAGAGGAGTGAGCAAACTATAGTAAAAATCTTTGTTTCCAACAAATGGAACAATAGAAATGAAAAATGACTGGGTTGTGGCATCAAAGGGAAAAAAATCTCAGTTCTGTGACCTTTTATTTGTTTTAGCTGCAAAATTATATCAACCATGGAAACTGCACCCATTTCTATCAGTCCAAAAGAAATCTGTGGCAGTTTAACCGAATCTGATATTAAAAATACTTTAGTAAATCCTGCCCCTCACACAAAAGTCTTGTGGCTATGGATCCCACTGACTTTAACTACTGACAGTATGTTCAAGTTTGAGAAAACTTTGAAAAACAAAAGGAAGAGATAAAAATATCTTTGCCCACCCCTAAGCTTGACTATGACTGCCCTTCTTGTTATGAACAAAAAGCCCTTTCATCAGCTCTGCAGGCAGAGGCGGGAGCACCTCTGCATCCTCGGAAGACTAAATGGATAGTTACCTTAGCAGGTTTCCTGACGATCTGATCAGGTCAACCACTTGTTTGTGGGAAAAGCCTTCTGTGCTCACTCCATTGATATTTGCAAGGACATCACCTGGGAAACGCCAAGAAAAATAAGTGTTACATTGGTTAAAACAGAGTGCTGTGTTGATTTAAAATCGGTGTTTATATTGGTTGGTTACATAATCCCTCCTGACTCACAAATGAAACAAGCTCCAAACCCTAGAAACATTCAAGAAAATCCAAGCCAACAATTGTGTCCCAATTCTCACTGCCTTCCAATTTTCCTTCCTTGCTACATAAATGGTCCATAACAGGAGCAGAGTTAGGTTACCGGCTTGCAGTCCAGAGCAGTGAGCTGGACTGTCCTCCTGTACTTTGCAAATCAGAGTGCATACTTCCAAGGAGCCAAAGTTCTGGTTCTGGAGCCTGTACGTCTATAACATTTAAGAAAATACAGAGTTACTACTCAAGAACACTCAAAATACGTTTGTCAAAACATATAATCATGTGGATTACCATTAAGTGGTTTAATATGTGAGAGCAAAGGATAAGTTGGAACGTCTTTCCTGACCATAAAATTCCATCAAAGGCACAAGTTTTGCAATTGGACCAGTCTGCAGCTGACTCTACTTGTAAAATATCATCTGGCATGAGAAAGTAGGATGAGAGTAGCTCAAGATTTTCAAGCCTAAGAGATTACCTGGTGTTATCATTTACATAGTAAAAAAAATTAAAATTTTTATTTCCCAATAGGATAAAACAGTGGCTGGCCAAAAGCAAGGAAAAAAGCTTTAGCGATTCTCACAAACTGAAACATTCATTATAGGAGAGGATGAAATGGTGCACACACAGCAAGGGAGCTATGCCAACAATGATTATTTTAAATCAGTTCTGCAAGCGGTGATAATCTGTTCTACATTTATTCCAAAGTACTCTAATTGACTCAATCACTTTCATTTCTGAGCTCTCCACTGTGCCTGACCCAAATTCTCACTGGTTCACCAGTCACCAACTACATTAGAAGTTTTGCTTCACCTCCTACCTGAATTTAACACAAGCAGTTTGGTGGTGGTAAGTTTTCATTTTTCACATGGTATCAAAATGCTGAATAAATATTCACTAGATTCAAGGTACCAGTGACTCCAAAAAACACATTTTTTAATACTTTTGAAATGAGACCTAGTTTCATTGAGAATGAAGATCAGTGTTCAGCATCATTTTCATCTTTATTTTTTATTGTTTTTGATTTGTTTGCTGGTTTTTGTTTTGTTTTGTTTTGTTTTTTGAGACAGGGTCTCACTATGTAATTGATAATGACCTGGAACTACTATGTAGCCCAGGCTGGTCTTGAACTCACAGTGGTCCTCCTGCTTCAGTCTCCCAAGTGCTGGGATTACAGGAGTACACCACCACACCCGGCAACATTGAGTATTTAAAACATCTGATTTCTAAAACTAAGTCATATTACTGTTTTTTTGGTGTAGAAATTACTGTCTGATAGTCATTCCTTTTCATTCTATCAACCCTGAGTCAGTCATGTGCAAGTAACTTTTAGAAACGTGGGTCTGTCAACCTAAGGGATTTCTCCTCAATCTACAAGGTAGGCAGAGTCCCCATGTCTTAAAGATAGAAGGACTTTCAAAGATCGTGTAATACATTGTCCTGTGTATCAAAGCCCTTTGCTGGGTCTCACTACGAATGGGTCTCACTAACACAAGGGTCTCACTACAGCCCAGAACATTCTAGAAATGAAGTCTGGTGTAGTTCATGGGATTCATTAACCAAATATATGACCCTCTCTGAAAACCACTCCTCTAATAGTTCTCATAGGGTTGAGGATCTGCCCTCCATGCCCAGTCACCAGAGAGAGAACAGTGCAGGGGAAGAACACTGATTTATAAACCAGGCATACGTTCACAAGAGTTATAAGTTTGAGGGCCAGGGATTTAGCTCAGCGGTTCCCCCTGCTGCCTTGCAGGCACAAGGTCCCAAGTTCAGTCCTCCGTACCAAAAAAAGAAAGAATTATAAGTTTGAGACTAGCGATAAGGAAAGACAGAAGCCCCAAAGTTACAGAAAGAAATATCTAACGTGTGTTCTTCTCATAAGCAGTGTAAAACTAGCACCAATGGGCAACCAGAGGGGAGGGTAGATCTGGTCTCTTCTAATTCGTCATCCACTTGGTAGACTAGGACATAAATACGGATTCACACAGGATGCACAACCTGAGTACATGAAGTCCTATCTGGCCTGTAAAATACCCCCTAAACATTCACCCTATTTGTTGACTTCCTGTTTCACTGAGATAACACATGCATGAGATGAAGCTACTAGCTCATGTTAATCTACGAATGTTCAGTACTCTGTGGCCTATTGTATTTACCGTATTTTCAATAGCAACTGCTGCACATCTCTGAGAATTTTGCTCATGTAAAAAGAAGTGGTCACAAAATACATAATGCTTCTGTAACAAGATAGTGTATTGTGTGAACAGGAAATAGTATTGAACTTCTACAATATGATAGATTTTACCAATTTTTATGGCAAATATAAATTTCATCAAATATAAAAATACTAGATTTTTTAAAAGTATAAGTTATCTTCTTTTCTTCTATAACCTTTTCCTGATGCATATCATTTTTTTCTTTACTTATAAAGCATGTTTTACTGAGAAGCTTCCTGTTCCTGATCTTAAAATACGCACTTTCAATTGTGGGGTTGATATCACACCAAAGTTTTCTGCAAGCAGCACAAAAAACTAAAATCTAAAATCTGAAGTATAGTATAAGAATATGATTATGCAAAACACATCTAAAAGGAATGCATAAATGTTACGGGAAAAAGTAACATTTAAAGGATCACTGTTACACTGTAATTAGATTAGATTTCATTTGACCTAATTCATTACCTTTACAAATACAGTCATGAAAAATGCAAACATTTAATAAAAAATAAAATTTTTTGGTATTTACACTGAAGACCATAAGGACTATTAAAAATTTCACCCATCATTAAGCAATCTTCAAGTAGAACCAAAGTTTCAAGTGTTCCAAATAATAATTATAAAATATTGTCATTAGAAATAAAATTATACATTTCTCATCTCAATAACAGCTTCTGTATCAAAAGTAACTGTACCTATATATATAAATATATGCATTCCACATACACAATTTCAAATATTTCTATAATCCCAAAAGTTTAGAATATGATATATAGCATGATAATATAATTATACAAAGCACATCCAAAATGCAAATATGTAAAGCACACATCTGTGCAAACTACTTCCCTCTCTTAATTAAGACTTGGTCAAAATCAAGCATTTCTCATCAGTCTGTGCTTAAGGAAGACCTCAGTCCATGGAGCTGAGACTATCTCAGACGTAATATTTTGTCAGTGTCACTGGAAAATTTTCTTTCTTCTATAGTACTCAACCCACTGGAAAACTACCCCCAAAGCCATACACTAGTTTCGTTATTCTTTGTTAAGTGTTCCAACTATTTTCCTTGGATATCGGAGAGATCTGAAAACTGCCAACCTGAATTTCAAATCCAAATGTTCCATTGTCCTGTTTTTCCACAGTTACAAGCTTTCTGTAATAAAAGGAAAAAACATCAAACTGCATAAGAACAAGGTATCACATTTTGTACATCTTTATCATTAAAAATGACTGTCACAATTAAAAATAGCTGACAGTAATGTTTAGTGATCAGAATGAACAGTGAATGTTTAAATGTTTTAAATTTATTACAGTTCAAGACATAGTGCCATAAATCCCCCTCAAGACCCTCTCCCTTGCTGCCAATCCATTTATCCTATCGTCCTTGCCACTTTCTGAAGCAGTTCTGGAAGTCCTTTTTTCACAAGTCTTTGTGATATGTGATTTTTAAAAAATACAGTAAATGCTGTGGCTAAGTGCCACCCAATGGCAAGGCAGGTTTATAAAAACATTACAGTGCGTCTTCAACCACCACATTCACCAGATCTGGCACCATGCTAATTCTAGCTCTTCTCAAAGTCAAAATGTCCATGAAAGGTAAAAGTTTTGAATCAATTCAGCATATGGAGGTAGCCGTGTCAACACAGCTAAACACATTCACAAAAGACGACTTCCAGAACTGTTCCAGAATGTGGCCAGAACAGTGGGATAGGCGTGTTGAAAATGAGGCGGAGTATTTTGGCGGGGATTAATGGCAATGTATTTTTTACTGTAACACACTTTGAAAATTTAAATATTTACCTCGTTTTTTGATCACACTTCATAAATTGTAATGTGTATGTGTCAGTATTATCAACAGTCTGGAGAGCTATGTTCCTGTCTATCTTGGTGAAAAACCAAAATAATAAGTGAATGTCTTTACCTCTGAGACCAGGAAAAGTCACCCAGAGAACTTGATCTGGACAAAGCAAGCTGAAAAATAATTAAAGTGTGCATTTATCTCAAGGTCCTTAAGGTACATTTGTAAACTGTTATAAGTCACAAAGGATTTTGTTCTTTATCACTTTCCTTGGCCCAACTCCTGGGAAATTATTACATAAAGGCAGCAATTTCCATTTTCTGGTGAAGCAAAGAAGCAGAATTGGGAATGGGAACTTTCAGGCATTCTGTTTAAAAGAGTAGAAGAGCTTGGATAGTGAGGCACTGTAGCAAAAGATTTCAAGGGATGTGGCAGAACTCCAAAGCTTTCAAAGATTACTTCATTTCTAATCTGCATTTAAAGCAGCCTCTAGAAGATGAGCCACAACAATTTGTCATCACATTGAATCTCAGAGAAAACAACATTCACAGAATGGCATGAAATCCAGGTACTCATACATTCGATAGCTTTTGAAGATGCCGATGAAATGACTGTACTTATTGTAATAGTTCAGTGTTACTGTTTTTAGCAGGATAAAACAATCTCTAAAGAATCAAATTATGCATAAGCATAATTCCAGTGAACTCAAAACTTCAATTTTGTTTATGATTTATTTTTGCAACACTTGTAGAAGAGTGTAGTAAGATTTTCAGTCAATAAAGGAAAGGCACTCAAAATGGTACAGGTAATATAAATAATAACACCTTCACCCCTCCCCGAACATTTTGGATAAAATCATATAAACATAAACATTAGGCATACCATCTGCCTATGTAAATAGAATGGAAATCAACAAAAGCTAGCACCTTATTACTTAGGGGATTGTTTGTAATGTTTGTTTTTTATTGTTTGTTTAAGAAATGTTAATTAGCCCTTCCTCAAATGTTCTCAGGGTCCTAAACATAAGCTTATGATACTAGCTAACCCATGCTTTTCAACTGCCAGTTTACCATGGTTAGCATAGGTAACCAAAATATATAATAGCAGAAGATCAATATGTAGTCTATATAAATAAAAATAAAATTAGAGGATAAGAATTGGAAGTAGAAAAATGCACAGAAGAGATCAATGCATATGTGACAAGTTACACAGAAGCCTACAAAGAATTTGAATTACTGGGTACAAAATGCCAGTAATCTCATAAATTTTCTGGGATGTCCCATTGTTAAGAATTCATCTTCAGTAAAGTTAATGAAATTGGAGAGCGGATCTCTTACAGCTGTGATGTAAAGTAATGATATTTCCCCCTTCTGTCAGTTGTGGATCTAACTTCATTAATAGCACCCTGAAGACTGAACAGATCCAAAAAGATTCAGTGGTCTTGATAAAAGCATCTACTTTTGCTTTATAAGGACTAACTGTAGAGTGGCTACAGCTCTTTTAAGGTTTGTTCCTATCTGCCTTTGCACCTGATATGTATAAACAAGGAAGGGGACCATTCAGTTACATCAGCAGGCTGTCTTCTTGTGAATGAGAGCAATAAAATGGGTATTTGCAAGCACTTTCAATCCAAGCATTATATTGTGCTCAAATTTTCTTTTGTCCCTCTTCATCATCTTCATCTTGCTTTTTGTTCACCCTTAATTCACATTATATGATACTTAGTTCAGCCATATGGAATTATATCATGTACAATGATGAGTAGGGTTTATATTTTTAAGGTACTGTTGACCTTCAAGTTACAACCAGCCTGACATATGAACAACTTGGGTTACGACCAGAATTTTAGTTTTAACTAATGACCAAAGTCTTGAGGTATGATCCAAATGTAATGGCTTGTGCTTCCAGATGGTCTCAGACAGATTTAACCCTTAAAGAATTCTGGAAGGAACATGATAACATTCTTTCCTGCACTGGGTTGAGAAATCCTGGGCCAATGTCTCTCTAAGGACACTGAGAGCTGTATGTATACAGGAGAGAGACTTTGAAGACTGTATAGAGGAGCCTGAGCCTTCAAATGACCAACTTGAGTTACAACCAGCCCTCTCAACAAATTGAGTTTATAAGTCAAGGCTCCACTGTATTACCCTTACGATTAGCATTTACATTCTATTCACATATTCGTAAATATGGAGTTCTATATGCACATGTATACGTGCATATTAGTATGAAGGGCATATTTGATCAAATACTTGACTTTCGTAGATAATTGTCTGTATGTATGCTTTGGGCTTCCTGGGGAATGTCTGTTTTATGTTCTATCCCAGGGCCTAGCACAAGGCCTAGAATAGTATGGGAACATAAAAACTGCAAAACAGACATCCAAAAATAACCTACAACAGAGGCGAGGGAATGGTGGTGGGAGACCAAAGTTCAAGAATTCAAGTTTGGAGGAAAAAAATATGTGAGACATTCCTTAACTTTGTTCTTCTATAAGTTAAATACTCATAGAAAAATTCAAAGTAGTTACAAAAATGTAAGAAAAAATGTTTAAATCTCAAACACATAGCAACATATAAAAATTAAAGGAAACAAACAGAATAGGGAAACATATCCAAAAATAGCAAGAAGATTAAGACTAAGAGAAGTAAGATAATAAGTACATGACCACTAAATGAATGAATGGTGGTGTAAATTAGTGAATTATTATTAAAATATCCAGTCGTGGCAAGTTAAATGTCATTTTCCTAAACCTACAATCAACATTGATGGGAGATTCAAGATTTCTTCCAATCTATCTTCTGAATAAATCATTTCTTATAGCTTGAAATCTAAAGTATTTAATTCCATAAAATAGATCAGATTCCTCTATGGAAAAGAAAATTTCCCAACCTTCCTCCTTTAACCTGTCTACCTGGCTACCTGACTACAGATGAAAATATTTTCCTGACACGATCAACAGTGTAGATGTTCAGTTCTTTGGCATGGCTCAAATGGTTTATCAGTGACACAAAAACATCAGACTAGGTCAAATTATAAATTAGTTTCCATCTGCACTAGCCAAATAGTTATTTTAGCCACCTAATATATAACTAAAAACCAATTTAAATAAATTAGGCACCATCAATTTATCTGACATGGGCCATATCTTGACATACAGATTTGTTGTTTTCGATCTGGCTGTCAAACTAAGGAGACATAGAGATCTTCTCAGGAGTCAGTATAGCTCTCCCACAAGACAACAATGCCTAATGACAAGAGGTATATGCGAGGGCTTCTCAAAGAGCTTACCCTTCAAAAAAAGTTTTCCCTAATGTGAGCAGTCCTAGTTGAAAATGGGACCAAAGGAATGAATGTTCCCCAGACAACCCTCACAGCCAAAGCCTTTTCTCAGAGCTCTGGTGCTGGCATCAAAAATCATGAATGAGGAACTGGTGTTCAGTTCACAGCATATGCTGGCAACAGCTGTCTTTTATTACACATTATCTAATATGAGAAATCTAGGTTTAGCAATTTGGCAGACTTGCAAACTACACATTTTGTTATGCCTGCTGAATAGACAAAGCTCCTTAACTCCTCACTAGCCACTAAATATAATGATGGCTGAGGTTGAACTTATGACTGCTCTTCTGGTTTTTCTCAGATGACTTAAAAGAATGGGCATTAACATTCAAAATGCAATTTCTCCTGCCGTACAGTGATTCACAAGTCTCTCTTAGTGAGAAGCCAGGACCAAACATTTCAGCTGTCAGTTTGCAGAAGTTAGGAAAATTTGTGGCACAATCAGAGAGTTAGCCAGCCTCAGAGAAGCTCCTAGGTCAGTGCTGTAGCCTTATCTGCTGCTCAGTTGCAATCTGGTATGTCCTTGTCCCCACTCTGTGTACTCATTTCTAGAAAGAGTTAGAGGTGGGATAAGGGGAGGATACCGATTCACAGGGTGGGAGGTTGTTTTTAATGGTTTGCTTTAAACTTCTCAAAATTATGTGCTCTGTTCTTTCAGTCCCCTGCCTCACCTTCACTCCTTAATTGATCCGCAGACATATTTCTGCCTCACTTTACGTCAGGAGCACTCTCGTAGTGAGGCTCCCCAGATTGTTCAAAAGCATAACAGAGTAGTGAAGCCAAACTCAATTTCCTAAATTGTAAAGGCCCTTAAAGAACCAACATAGAATATTGCCCCTTCCTAGGAAGGGCTAATCATCAGTTTGTGGACCTCTTTTTCAAAAAAAACTTGTTGGATATTGCCCCAGGCATGCCATGATATGGTTTAAAGAATATTTTTCAAGTTGTTTGCATGACACGATCAAATCCTTTGATTCAGGTCTGACACCCTTGATAGTTAAGGAACCCTATGGACGTGCCACAAAAGCCCCAGAAGGCCAACATGGTACCCAGAAATATACCTGGTACAGAATTTAACACAAATTTCTTCCTTGAAGGCATATGTAAAATCAGCCTTCCAGGAGCTGCCTATTCAGTAGTAACTGCATAACAGAAAGAAAATTAGGGAAAGAGAGAGGATCGTTGGCACAGGTAGTACAGTTGAGCTCATACTTGTGATTTGGGTTCCTTCTTCTCACTACAGAATTCTGTCAAACTTGTTTTCCAAAAGCAACTCACCACTCTTATGAAAGTGGATAGTCAGACACAACCACTACTTTGAACCACTTCGGCTTCAATACATTTAAAAAGACTGAACTTATTCCCTTCTGTCTCTTTCCAAAGTTTTCCACTGCAGAAATTTTCTCCTCTAAAACTGTGTGTAGAACTAGAAGTTCTTCTGGGATGTGCAGCACTTCCTACAAATGTAGGCATTGAAGTAATACTCACACCCGAAATCTATTTTTAAATAATTCTGAATGTAAACACCTGATTGTCTCTGATTAATCTGAAACTAGAGACTGACCAGATATAGCTTTGCAGAAACCCAAGCCAGAAATAACAAGAGGTATGAACCGTTGACGTCAATCCTCAAAGTGTTGAAAATAACAATGGGCAAGAGACACACCTGCTTGTGGGGTGGCCTCACTGGGACCTTGTTGCTGCCATTCGGTCTATGCCAAAAGAGTGATTGTTCTCCAAAAATCAGCTATAGGAAATGAATGTCCATTTGGAACATTCTGAAATGTAGGGATAAACTTGGATCAAGTTTCACTGCTGATGACCATATTGAATCAAAAGTATCATGTTCAAAGGGTTTATAAAAGCCAAAAAATAAATAAATAATCCTGGGGCATCAGGCAGGCTAGGAGCCCATACTATCACTCCACTTCACGCAAGGATGAAAAACTGTTTTCTAGCCCACTTGTATTTTGCTAGGTAATGATCTAGCCTGGATTTGAAAATCAGTATGCAGATATATAACGGACCTATATTTGCCTTTTTTTGTAAACATGTTGCCTGGAATTAGGTAAAGATTGCATTAACCTGGTAACATAATCTGTAAGGATTCTTACCCTTTTCCAAATACAAATATTTGAGACACTTCCCAAAATATAAAAATGATTGTATCATTTTTATTATAACGTTCATATTTGTACATGTTTGCTGCACATAATAAATATATTCATTCTGGGGAACGGGACATATACAGATGGCGTCTTGAACAATGTCTGAAAAGTTTCAATAAATCACTGAAAAACACCCCCCCCAAAACAAGAAGAGGAAAATATATGTTTTGAATTAATATGCAAGGAGGAGGAAGAGAAAAGAAGAACTAAAAAAGAGAACTATGCACAAATTCATCGGTAAGAGATGTGTGTACATGCACGCATATACGTATTTTCTACACTTGCACACGCACACACATATTTCATCTGCCTGAGCCTTTCTTATCGTCTTCCTTCAATAACCAGTCTCTCCTACTAACTGACTTTTTAACTCCTGCCATCTTCACTTAGGCTTAAAATCAGCTATGCTTTCTCCATCTTCCATGGCCTTTCAAAGCTTTCTGTTTCTTCCCCATTGTTTCATTTCCTCTTTCTCCAACTACCGCCAAAGTTTCTCCTTCGACCTAGTCATACCTCACCAATCCACTACATTTCTCAAGTAAAAAGTTACTAAAATCCTCTAATGCTCAAACACATTCTTGGCTCTTTGTGCTTGCTGGTCAAATTGCAGTCAGCTCTCTGTACCCATAGGTTCTGCATCCGTTGGTTCAAGCAACCACATATTGAAAATAACCAAAAGCAAAAAAGAAGAAACCTATACTAACATGTACAGGCTTTTTTCTTGTCATTACTCCAAACAATAAAATTGGGCTATTATTTACGTAGCATTTACATCATATTAGGTATTATACATAAGCTAGAGATAACAGAGGATGTGTTTAGTTTATATTTTATGGTAGACTTGAATAGTCATGGATTTTTGCTCTCCATGGAGGGTCCTGGCACTGAACTCTTGTAGATGCCAAAGGACTACTGTCTGCTTTCTCCGAGAAACTGTTCAAGTGTTCTGCAAAGCAACCCAGCTCTGAGATCTCCTCTCATCTCCTGCACACGCGCTGCGTCTTCCTGACATACAGTTGTGTTGTTATACCCTCAGAGCATTAATTATTCCCTTACTCTGGAATATTAAAGAGCTTTCATAGTTATATTCAAAGGCCAGGTTATTTGGAAGAGAGTATTATGTCATTTTACTTGGTGTAATGCTATTCATACTGCCTACTGAATTATAAACTCTTTCTACATGAGAAACGTGCTCTTCTAATCTTTTACCTCCTAAAAATAGTGTGATGTCTACCCCCTTGTAGTTGCTCTGAAATTGTCTATTACACTGAAATGCCCGAGCTGAAAGGTAGATAAAATGAGTTAAGTGTCAGGTGTGGAGGACAGGATGAAAAGTTCCCACCGTGATTCAAAAATTAAAAACATTGCTTAACCAGTAGCTATTTACCAAAACAATGAAAGCTCAACCTTACCAAATGAACCATATTTAACCCAATAGCTTTATGAGAAATAGAAAGTAAAATGGACTATTCTATATCTGAAAACAGTAAAGATGTTGGGATTTCCTATGTTACTTTATTTTCAGACAAGTTGTAAACTGCTAGAAATGTTTGCCATTATATTAAACTTTTTATCATATGTGTACTTTGGATTCAGAAATATCAGTAATCTAAAATATGGTAAATTATGCCCTTATTTTAACTGTTAAAAAAATACAAATGTGCCAGGGATTTAGCTCAGTGGTTCCAGCGCCTGCCTCACAAGCTCAAGGACCTAAGTTTGATCCCTGGTACCAAAAAAAAACAAAAAACAAAAAACAAAACAAAACAAAAAAAACAAATGAGTAAGCCCTATCCATCACAGAAAAATTATTGTAACTCTCTAGTCCTACAATTAGAAGGATTCAGAGAAGCGCCTGTTGTACACCTGAAATTTAAGGGCAAAAATTCATGCTGTAAAGTAATTCTAAATATTTTCTGAATGAGTGCCGTATCTAAAGTTAAATCTGTGCTAAATTTATGTAACAAGTATGTAAGCAAGACCTAAACAGGTATTATGGCTACTTGTTGAATCTTAGAAATTGAAGAATAAAATATCACAATGTAGCCTTTACTGAGAACATACCGTGTGTCAGTCACCATGTGAGGCACTGAACATTTCCATACTTGAGCTGCATTCAAGCCCAATAAGGATGCTTCTATTATTGTCTTCATTTTTGAAAAAAGGAAACTGAGTCTTAGAAAGACAAATGACTCGCTCAAGATCCCACAGCTAGTCAGTGGCTAAGTGTTCCTCCTGGTATACACCTATTCAAAAAAGAAAGTCTTATTCCCAGGAGCAAGAGATATTTGCCAATGTCAACAAAATTTGCCCTCAAGGAAAAGTATTTTCTTTTGACTATGAACTAAAATGACTATCAAAGGCAGAGAGTACAGGTGGGAGGAAAAGAATCAATGAGAAAAAGGTGGAAAAGATCAATAATTCTTATATAAACCATCTGTATCTTTATTATGTGCAACAATTTTCATTTTACAAGAGCACCTCTTTAAGTGAGAAAAATGAAATATTTTAAGTATTGCCTCGGTAAAAAGAAAAAGTGTGTTTGATTCTGGCCTCAAATATCTGGATTGGTCCGCTAGTCTCCTGGGCATCTCACCCCAGCCTCATACTCAGTGACTAATTCCAACATCTCTAAAATAGCATCTGTAGCATGAAATCAGACAAATATCACTCTGGTCTCAAGAGAACACAAATACAAATAGCAACATACCTGCTTCCTTCCGCGAGGCAAAGTAGCCACGGTGTCTGCCAGCGTTCGAATCCTTCTGTTGTCATCCATCTCGAGGCTGCTCGTGAGTGTGGGGTACGAGCTAGATGCAGGACCAGTGCAGTAGTCCACCAGGTTTCCATTGCTGCTCTGCTGCAGAAGCCTTTGTAAAGACATTGTAAATAAAGATTATTCCAGCTGGCACATGGTTGAGTGGCCTTGCAGGATGGGGGAAGCTAAATGTACAACCTTCTGGCGTGACATCAAAAGTAGCAAAGCAGAAAGAGCCCATGTGACTTTTGTGGTTTGAGGTACTTGTTACACAAACACTATCTTTAAGTTCACTCTGTTCAGTCACTGCTTTTTTCTTTAAACTCTAAGAGATCCTCAAACTAATTTTTTACAATTTAAAAAATCTATTTATTTTTTCTCCCTCAAACAGCCAGAACTCATATACTTTTATGCTTCATGGCTATTTATGTTCAAAATACCATCTGCCATATTTTAAAAAGAAAAAAAAAAACCTCCCCAGTTCTGCCATTTATTTCTCATCCATGTTCTTACTTAACATTAGCAGCGCAACGCAAAAGCCAGGGTGTGCCAACATTCAGTTTTTGTGACTGCAGGCAAGAATTACAGGTGCTGGTCATGATGTCCTCAGAAAGTGCTTATAATGTGCTTCCCCTGAGGTACACACACCCTTGCTCATTAATGTTCATCAAAAAGACAACCCGTCTCCCACTTGAGTTACAGCCATTCAATACCAGTCTTCTGATGGCCCTTCTATTTGTCCCTACTAAAATTATCCTTTCTCTCAATAAGGAATAACATGAAAGGAGAAGCAACACTTATAACACAATGTTGGCCATATCTGGGACTGGACTCTGCTCCAGCATTAGGCAGTGGTCCCATGGGAGGACAAGAGCAGCAAGAAGGGAACAGGCCCTCAAGGTGGCACAGGGATGCACCAACTGGTCCCTCAAATGCAGCTGGGGCCCAGATGCCATGGCAGGGTACTCAAAAGCATTGCTGCTTTATTTATTCTTCTTTTGTTTCCCTCTCTCTCTCTCTCTCTCTCTCTCTAGCATAGATCAGGGTCAGGTATTTTTAAGAGCAGTGCTTTCAGGGAGGAACAGGGGAAGCAAGGAAAAGGAAGAATTGAAACAAAAGTCAGGGGCTAGGGATTTAGCTCAGTGGTTCTGCTGCCTCCCTTATAAGCACGAGGACTGGGGTTCAAACCTGATAGCAAAAGAAAAAGAAAGGCAAACGGAGAAGTTGATTATAGCATGGGAAGTTGATTTTTCTTTAAAAATTATTTCAAAGGTCTATACTAGAATATAAAAAATGTAAAAAGCTTTGAGCTGAAATGCAATGTGAAAGGCAAGTTGACTTCACCTCAAGCAGAACTCATCAAATGCATATTGTAAAAATCTTCCCCTTTAACAATGCTTCAAATGATGGAAAAAATACAGAAATTTTTAGAATCCTTTCACAGTACTATTCATACAACTGGACTCAGATTTTGACATGGACAAAATGATGCTTCCAAAAACAGAAAGATCCAAATCATGCATGACAACCTCATATGCCTTAGAGGCCAGGAAGATAACATAAATGTGTAAGACAAACAGGAGAGGTAGACTTCAGCAACACTTGATACACCCATTCTAAAGATATCCATGTAAGATAAATACGCATGGACATACATGTGTGTATATGAAATGGGAGAGGCGAAGGAGAACTATTCAAAAACATCAAAAGACTATGAGGATGCCAAGCGTGGTGGTGCACGCCTATAATCCCAGCACTCAGGAGGCTGAGGCAGGAGGATCGCTGTGAGTTTGAGACCAGCCTGGGCTACACAGTGAGTTCCAGGTCAGTCTCAACAACACAGTGAGACCTTTTCTCAGGAAAAAAAAAAAAAGAAAGAAAAAGGCCGTGAGGAGTGTCGTTTAAATCAGTACAATCAATATCATTCACTCTCCTCTAGAAACGTTGTGAAGTTAGGCTAATATTTTTAATATTTCAGAATACCAGGTGAAAATTAAAAATCTGTCTAATACGTGGTCACATAGGCCACCTGACATGAAGTTTTATAAACAAGTACTAAAGCTGTATCAGTTCAATGCATCACACTGATCTGAAGCTGTGTATCGTAGAAACCAATCATTAAGAAATTGGAAAATTTTTTATTATTTAACTTATGAAATTTTCTTAGTAAGCATAATATTTCAAATCATAGGCTCCATGGATATAATAGAAGAGCCAAAGGCAGGTCTGACATCTATGCCACACACATCAGTATGATCAGACTTGTTAAATATGTATTTATCAACTGGTCAATTTTTATCGGTTTTCTGTTTTGATTGTCAGAGCCTATATTTATCAAATATTTTAAGTAGCATACTAATAAAAAGGGATAAAATATGAGAAAACATTAATATTTAAGTTGGAAGGAGGTTTCCAAAGATTGAGGCCTTGACTTACAAAGCTGTTCTACAATTAACAACTTCTCTTTTTCTTTAGAATTTTCCTTAGGACAATTATACTAGCATGGCCTCTCTTTCTCTTTAGCCTCCCCTTATTTTAGAAGTGATTCTGAAAATGAATCAGATCAAACTCTGTCAATTCAAAAGGTTTCAAGAGTGCCTCACTTTCCACAGACTAAAATTTTTAAAAAAGGTAAGAGGATTTCACAAAAACTTAGCCACCTGTCTAATCATAGGCAGCTATAAGAGGTCTAACAAATTTCTAGTGTAAAACTACTGCCTTACAGGATGTGAGCTGAATTTTGTCCCCCAAAATCAATATGTTAATTCTCTAATCCCCAAATGAAGCCTAGAAGGAAATACTTAAGGTGAAATGAAGTTGTAAGGGTAAAGCTCTGACCTCATAGGGCTGGTGCTCCTGTAAGAAGATAGACCAGAGAGCTCCCATTCCATTATGTGAGGACATTATGAGAAGGTTGCCATCAACAAAGCAGGAAGACAGCACTCATCACGAGCTGAAAGCCCCTGGATCTGGGACTTGCCAGCCTCCAGAACTGTTAGAAAATGACTTCCTGCTGTTTAAAGCCATCTGATGCATGATTTTTTTAAGTTTATTGGTAGATTTTAAGTATACAGTACAGTTACATTGATCATTGAGATCTCGTACCTTTACGTGATGTCTCTTGCTTCTTTTTTCCCCCATTCCCCTGCCCTCCTTTCACCCCCTCCACCCTTCCCTATTTACAAAGACTTTGTTTCCATTTTTTCCATTTCTCATATTTTTTTCTCTTATGTATGGTATGTTTTATGCTGTAGTATTTGTGACAGCAGCCTAAGCTGGTTAACATTCTCTCTGAACCTCATATCCAACCAAAAACTTTTAGGGAGGAAGAGACCATGTATATATAACACAGCTAATGCTACTGAACTTTGTTTTAAGTAATAAGAAATCAAAAGAAAAAGCTTCAAAGAAAATGACTGCAATTCTGTATGTTCTGCCTTATTCATCATCAAATGCCCATATATCCAGCAAGAATGCCTCTGGAGGTCTAAATAGTAGAAACCATGTGAAATCTCTTTCAATAGTGTATCAAAGTATGTTTGCAAAGCTTTGTCAGAGACAATGTCTGAGCTTTCTGGATTACTGTCAGCCTAGCTCATCTATACATTAGGGTGGACATAGAAGTCTAAGGTTAGTTTCAAAATGAGGTCTTTTTCCTGTGCCCTTGTGACATTAAGATAATCATTGGGATTATTTGTTTATTTTTATCTTGGCTGTTTGTCCTTACTTGTAGAAGATATTATTTGGTTTTGTAGGTTGTCATTGTGTTGTGTTTGATTGGCTCACTTGTTTGTATTATTTTGGCATTTCACCTTTATTTGTATGAGAAGACTCTCTAAGCTAATAGGAGATAAGTCACTATTACACAGACAATATCTGGATCTACACATAACAACACTTGGGACATATATGAAATGATGCTGTATGATTGCATCAGATCGAGTTGAGTCTTTAAGAGGCAGTCTGTGCAGTAATTTTGAAATTTCTTGTCAGAATGCAAAAAAAACTTTTGAATTACATGGGAACAGGGAGAACAGGAAGAAGAGAAGGTAAAAGAAAGCATGAAAGGAGGATTCTAAAACTACTAGGGCTGACATCAATCACCATAGCTGTCCTTTTAATTATTTTATAATGTGTTCTTTTCCCAAATCACATGATTTAGTCATGTAATAGAAATAAAATTAATTAAAACAACAGGTCTATAAGAAAGAAAACAGTCTGTAGTGTGTGAAGAACCTCAACAAAATGTTGGAACACCAATTGTTCCCCCAATTTCCAAACACACAGTTCCTTTTTTGAGAAATAAAACTCTAATAGTAAAAGCTCCCTTTAATTATAAACATGAAGCAACATGTAAACCCTTGGTTAGAGAAAACCCAAGTCGGGATTTGTCTAAAACTTTATAACATTCTGTTTTCATGAATTTATCGAGATAAGACAGAAATTTTGACTGACTTGGGCTGAACAGCATTTTTATCTCGTATGATATGGAGCCACCTTTCTGAACAAGGGCATAGTTGTAATAGAAACCTTACTGGCCACTTATAAACTTGGGTGTTCTGTTTGCTTGAAGGCTATCATCTATTTTCAGCTATTTTTTAGTTAATGGATTAATAAAATATTTAGGAATATGTCCAAATCAAGTATAAACATAAAGATCAATATATATTTATATTTACAAATTTACACCTATGGCCATAAAACTTGAAATAAATAAAATATCTCTGTCTCACCTTACAGAAAGACATTAACAATGTGGGCTGTTACAGATATGTGGACATGAATTCATTCAAATCCATTTGAGGCTCAGAGTAGAACCTTAACTATTTTGGCAAGAGATAAAATATTTATAAGTATGGGCTGGAGATTTAGCTCAGTGGTTCTGTTGCCTGCCTTGCAAGCACAAGATCCCAAGTTCAATCCCTGGTACACAGAAAGAAAAAAAAATTTATAAGTAGAATGTGTGTTAGTGTGTGTTCATTTCTTGAGGTAGAAACTATTAATACAATAATAATTATAGAAGATATTGTAAAGGTAGTTAAAGACCCATCCTTTGAGATACAAATTCTTTTACTAATATTGCACCATATTTTCAAGTTATAAATTGTCCCA